ACCTAACCTGTACTTATGACAGCTATTCCTATGCCCCAGGTGCAGGACCTTGCACTTCTCCACATTGAACGCCATCCTGTTGTCTCCTGCCCACTTCCATAATCTGACCAGGTCCTTTTAGATCTGGATTACCTGCTCCTCAGTTGTGGCCACTGCTCCAGTTTTAGTGTCGTCTGCGAATTTGATCAGCAGACTGTTCACCCCTTCTTCCATGTCATTAATGAAAAGATTAAACAGGATCGGCCCCAGGACAGAGCCCTGGGGGACCCCGCTTATCATCAGCCGCCATCCTGATGATTCCCCGCTAATGGTTACCTTCTGCTTTCGGTCAGTCAACCATGCCCTAATCCACCGGACAGTGCTTTGGTGTATCCCAAAACTCCTCAGTTTCTCCACCAGGATGTCATGGGGCACTTTGTCAAAGGCCTTGCTGAAATCCAGGTATACCATATCCACTGCATCCCCTCCATCTAGCCATCTCGAAACCTTGTCATAGAATTCCACAAGGTTTGTCTGGCAGGACGTGTTTTTGTGGAAGCCATGTTGTGTGGCTGTCAGCCTCCCTCCCCTGTCTAGCATCACTAGATCTCTCTCTATTATGAGCCTTTCCATTGTTTTTCCTACAATGGACGTAAGGCTAACCGGTCTATAATTCCCCATGTCCTTTCTACTACCCTTTTTGAAAATTGGGACCACTGATGCCACCTTCCAGTCCTCTGGAACCTCAGCCGTTCTCCACGAGGTCTCAAAAATGGAGGCCAGCGGGCATGAGAGAATCCCTGCCAACACTCTAAGTACTCTCGGGTGTAACCCGTCATGGTCTGGCGCCTTTGTAATGTCCAATGCCCTGAGGAGGCCCTCAGCTTCAAGGGGGGTGACTCTAATCTGTGCCCCTAAGTCCCCAGCCTCATCTAATCTCCTATGCGGATATCCCCCATCCTGCTTTGGGGAGAAGACAGAGGCAAAATAGTCATTTAGTATCTGTGCCTGTTCCCTCATATCAGTCACTGGATCTCCTTCCTCCTTATTTAGTGGACCCACCACTTGTCTCCCCTTCCTCTTCCTAGTTACATGCTGAAAGAAGCCCTTTTTGTTGCTCTTGATAGTCTTAGCAAGTCTCAGCTCATAATCAGCCTTAGCCTTGCGAAGAATCCTTCTGCAATGGGCCTCCTCCTCCTGGTATACCCTTTTGTCTATTTTCGCCAGTACCCATTTCCTACGGAGGTTCCTCTTTCGTCTAATCCCTCTAACCACCTCCTTTCGCATCCATGGCAGCACTCTCCTCCACCTTCCCACCTTACTGACTAGAGGTATCGTCAAGGCTTGCCCCTCCAAAAC